AAAGTCGGAAAGTTTGCTTGTGGAGACGGATCCAGTAGGGGGCAGTAATGCAACTGAAGTGATGCAGAGCTGCCTTTAGAACCTCATAACAGAACAAGTTGGGGGGAGAGGTCAGCTAGTAGAAAGATTTGTTATTATTATTAGAATGTTGGGGAGAGGTCAGCTAGTAGAAAGATTTATTATTATTATTAGAATGTTCTACTGTGGAACTATTACTCTTGACATGAAAATATACGACACCCAGCATTCACGTGTTTGCATAAAAAAATGTCTACAAATATAAACAGTAAAAAATGTATTTGCAAACATATGTTGTACTCCCTCAACTTACTATTTGCATCCCTGATCAGATACGGTGTAACATTATTATATTTGATATTTCGACTCACAGATGAACTCTCCTTCATGTGAACAGGTTTCCAGGTTAGACACTATCTGTCCAGCCCTGATTCATGGCCATCTTCTGTGAGCCATCACTCATCTTGTCTTTACACTGTTCTATAAAGGCTTTGGAATCGTGTGTCTGGACCTTTGCCCACTTTAATCACACGGCCATTAGGGCCCTCAGTGTCTCTGCATGCTTGGGAGTCGCTCCTTGGATTTTCCTAGGCTTCATTTGTAAAGCGATGGAGCAGGAAATGAGGTTGGTTTGCAGCAGTGGTGCAGGCCTGGAGGATGTGGATGTGAAAAAACCATAAAGAGGGTGAGTAGGTGGTGGGAGTGTTGGGGTGAGGGTGGAGGGTCATCGCCATTGATGACAGCAGCATGGTTCACTGGACTGGTCTAGACAGTGATGTCACTAAGATCCAGATTTACCGTTGATGTAAAGGTGGATCAGTGGCCTGATTGGATGGTGAGGTTTCTATGGCACTGAATGAACTATATTTAACTGAGTTGCACTGAAATGTAAGAAACCATTGAAATTCCATTTTTCAAGGACTCTTTTTTTGAACATCTAAATATTTAGCTGTAAATCGAAAGCTCAAAAGCCTGGAAATAAAATAAAAATATGAACTAAAATTGGTTTAACATAAATAAATAAGGTCAAACCCAAATTAATGTCTTTTAAGCACAGAATATTATTCCCCAAAAATAGCCACCAAAGATGGTAAGCTAACATGTGTCCCTTGGTGTTGTGACCTTGTGTCTGTGGTCTTTATTTTAAAACCATTTTCCATCTTTTTTTCTTTCCTAGTGTGTTCCAAATAGACGTGTATCAATAATAATTAGTGAGATTCACTGATGGAACAACTTTGGAGTGTGATGTTTATAGCAGCAGTCTGATGGATAGACGACTGTGAGTGTTTGCAGCTAAACAATCACTGAGCCATCTGCTTGTCTCCGCCGCACGTTAATAGCTTCTCTGCCGGAGCAATTAGTTTGTGACAGTTTGAGCGGAATCAATAATTTACAGAGTAAGTTGGAGCGGCATGAAATCTCACTTTTCTGCTGCCGCTCGCTAAAGGGATGTAATTATGTAAAGTTTTAAAGAGCTGTGAGTGTTCTTTCAAATCCGAGGTGTTATTAATGCAAACAAACATACGTACACGGAGGCAGGTCAAATCAGCGGTAACGAGCATTTGAGGGGGAAAAAAAGGATAATTTTAAACACGCTCCACCAAGAAGTTTCTCCCTTTTAATTTTCCATTTCACTCGATTTGTTTTAATTATTATAGAAGTCATTAGAAACATGAATGGCTCCAACAGTTGCTGCAAACGCATCCATCAAACCGTACATACATATATATACAAATATATGTATGGGTAGGTATAAATATAGAGGTATATATGAAATAGAATATAAATTTCAAAAATAGGTATTTTTACATTTTTTACAGAAACAAAAAGATATAAAAACAAAATTATTATTTTTTTCATTTTTCATATTTATTTTATCTCAAGTTCAGCTGTTCTACTTCTGTCTCCTTAAACAAAGTTGTATACAAATAAAATAAAGTCACTAGAGAACCCCTGATCTATCATTTATGGAAAACATTAACAATAATTTGAATATACTCAAAAATGCACCATCTGATGATCTGACATTGGCGGTGGCAGCAGTAGCAGCAGTAGCAGCAGCAGCGGCAGCAGTAGCAGCAGCAGCAGCAGCAGCAGCGGCCCAGCCTCTGTAATGGGACACTGCTAAACGATGCTCCCATGCAGTCATGGCCTGTTCCACCTGACTTGCTCCTCACTGCTCCTGCTGCTCCTGTTAGCTCGTCCTCTCAGGCTAATTTATGACACTATCAGTCTCCTCGGCCGCGGGCCAGCCACAGAACTCATCCTCATGTTCAAACTAATTACTTAAACTGATGAGCCCCATAATAACTTCAGTAGATAGAGTTCCATTCTAACTTCTGATACACAATACACGGCAGTGGAACAACTTGCACTGTCAGTGCCATCACTCACAGCTGAAAGCCAGCATGTAAATGCACAGGAGAAAAGCGTGAGTACCGTGATGTTTGGAACTATTTGCCTTTCAAAACACGAGTCACGATACTTCATTTGGTTTTCTAATGTGCACAAAGTCTGAGAGTGGCTCTGACTGCAGCAGTTTGTTTACCTCTGTGTGTGTCTCAGTGTGTCAATGTACATGCTAATCTGATAATGTACACTGTATCTGTTTACATCGATCAGCAGCCATGTAAAGGTCAGGGGTAGAACACTGTATCTGTATTTAAAAAGTTGTTTAAAATTTCTACTGTGAGTTTTTTTTTAAATGTATATAAAAACCATAGATTTTCTATGCCTTTTATTTTTATGTGTATGCACTTTTATGTTACGTCATTATTACATAATTACAAAATAACTAAGGATAGCATATAAATAAAAAAGGATAGCAAAGAAACTAGCTAAAATAATAGCATCTAGCAGCTACAATAAGAGTAGGGTAAAAGCTAAAGCTAACAGCTAAAGTCTCGTCCAATTATACATGAAGGTATAGTGAAAAGTATCACAACATGTGTCAGAAATCAAACAGAAACAAAATCATTCATTGTAACCTAAAGGTAGAAAATGCTAAATAAAATTTAAAAAATCCCATAATGCCTTTTTCAAATATAACTCAAGATTAAGAACAAATTAATCTCAAACCTGGCAACCTTTAAAAGTTTAAATGAGAACAAATTAATCTCAAACCTGGCAACATTTAAAACTGGAAGATTTTTGTTTTTTTTTTAGGTTTAAATTACAAAGTATGTATTAGTTCTGAGCTAGCCTTTGGTGTTAACGGTTAAGCTAGCACTGAAGCTGTACTCATCACCTTTTGTCTACATTTGTTTCTACTTTTTAAAGCGTCACCAGAACTAGAACCGATCTGTGGTTTAGTGTGACTGCTTACCTCTCTGTGTTTGTTGGGTTTTGGTGAAAGTCTTGTGCTTTTTGACTCCTCTGTGTCCTGATACCTTTGGCTCGTGGACTTGAGGTCTTTTTGTGCCAACCCAGAGTCGAAACCTTAACCAACGCAGGTTTAATCCTGCTCAGTTTACTGGTTTCTGCCAAACGAACATTTCCTGGAAACGCTCACACGTCTGAGTTGAATATTTATCCCCAGAGCTCTCGTTTATCAGCACTTGCCGGCATTTCTCCCTCTACAAAACTACAGTTGAGCTGCATGTGTTCATTTGACAATAGAGTTCACTGTTATAAAGACTGTGGTTGAGGCTCCAACCGTCTGCAGCTAACAAATAGTGACAGGAAGCCAATGCTTTAGGACACACAAGGTTAGTTAACTCTACACACACACATGCAATCGGTGTATCCTGAGGGGTCTGAGCTTGTGTGTGTGTGTCCCTTTTTGAAGGTGTCCAGTGCTGGTCCTTAGGTTTCACCCTGTCGTCTCGTGTGTCACAGTGAGTCAGTGTTGTCAAATACGGAGCTGCTGATGTTTTATTAAAGACGTCTGTGGGTTAGTGAGGAGCTGTGCATTAGACACAACCGTCTCCACACGTGTGCATGTAAAGGAATTCAATATCTCCGCATGAACAGTAAATGCATCACGGCATCAGCGGGAAATAATGTGTGCAGTCTGTGTGTGTGTTGACTTTTCACTGTAAAACCTCCTCCAGCTGCTTTTATTAAAATAATTATGAGGATAGTTCAATCAATCAAAAAAACTAAAATGGAATATTTTTATTTTATGGAGATCAGATTGAACAACTTTCACTTGTGTAAACATGACACAAAACATAAACAGTAGTAGAGAAAATGTGTAAGATTAGAAAATACAAGAGAGAAATCCTCCAATTTTGAATATTAGTCAAATGAAGTCAAAACTGTTATTATTTGACAAATTATTTTAATATTTTTTAAATATTATTATTATTCCAAGTGCTACATTTTCTGTGTATGAATTGACTTCTATGTGGGCAAAAGGTCACGTAGCTGCAGAGGCTAATTCCCACTAATCCCACTGTATCTCCAACCACGTAGAGATGGCTCCATTGGCAGCCTCAGAGCTGAGGAATAACTTGTGAGATTAGCCCGTTAGCTCCTCCCACTGCTCTGTCTCCTCCTCCTCTCTGGGTCACACTCTTGGCCTGAGCAGGGCAGTCTACCTACATGCTGCTGCTGCCATGCCTCACCTTTTACACCCAAATGGACTAATGCATTTTAAGAGAATGGCCTTTGTTTAGTTTTGAAAAATATGTAAGTTTGTTCTTTTGTTTTGTATATTGTTGCAGCTTTGATGAGTGTGCTTTGTGTGCTTTTACTTTGAAAAACAGAGCCAAAGTTAAATTCAGGATATTCAAAGGTCTGTGTGTTCATAATACCGATGTTTTGAATAGTATTTAGAACATTCCAGTATAGTCTGAGACTCTAATCTTTTTTACATTTTTAATTCTTGTAAAACAAAGAAAATACCCTTTCAAAATAAACTTATTTTCTTTTAAATAATTGATTTAAAACCATACATTCTAGCTGTGCTAACCTGATTTACCTCTTCCACACTTATTCTTATTGTGCTTGTTGTTGTTTTTTATTTCTTTCTTCTCCAGGAGATCTCTCATGAAGATGTTTCCACAATCAGGGAAATCCATTGTCTTTGACAGCTTCCCAGACCCCACTGACACCTGGGAAATAATCGAAACCATAGGGAAAGGGACGTACGGAAAAGTCTACAAGGTGCTGAATAATATTGATGGGAGCAAAGCAGCTGTGAAGATACTGGACCCAATTCATGTAAGGTTCAAAGTCTTCAGTTGTTGTTATTTGTGAAAATCATTTCCATTATTTTTCCGAGGTGACGGTTTCATGAATTTCTATTAGATAAAAAACAAACAAAATAAATTGCAACATTTATCTAAAAAATGTCATTGCAAGACAACAATAGATCTCACAGACTCATGATATTCTGTAAACATTCATAGAGCATACAGTGAAAGGTTTTCATCTAATTACTGTAATTAAAACAGGACTGGCTCTTCTTCGCCTACACTGAAAATGATAGGCTCCACGTCATAAAATGTAGCATCAATAAAAAGTAGAACAAAGCCATGGCTCACCTATACATTTATATTCACTTTTTCATGAAAAGTTTTTACTTTATTTTCAGTTCTGTTGTTAGCTTAGCCTAGCGTAAAAACCCCATAAATGGAAAGTCATCTTTGTTTTACACTCAGCTAACGAATGCTAACTGTTTACTAGCCATAGCTTTATTCATTTATTCATGGTAGTGTGGGGTATCAAACCTCTCAGTACTGTGTACAGGAAACATTCAGGTGTAGAGGAACATTTCAAAAAGTGTAGTTTTATGTGTAGGGTTATTTTATTTTTTTTACCATACTATATATAAATATATATGCACATGATAGAGATGTTTTTATAAATCAAAGAACTCTTGTTTTTCAGGACATCGATGAGGAAATTGAGGCCGAGTACAACATCCTCAAAGCTCTCTCGGACCACTCCAATGTTGTCAAGTTCTACGGGATGTACTACAAGAAGGATGTTAAATGTGGAGATCAACTGTGGCTCGTTCTGGAGGTGAGATGCTTGGTCTTCTGGGTTTAAAAGTTGGTCACCTGTTAGTCCTGAAAAAGCAAAGCTATAGAAAGAAAACATTCTCCATTTTTGTTTTTTGTCATAGTTGACCAAAAGCAAACTTAACCTGTAAGCTAGCTCAGCTCTAGCTGACTGTTTACGCGCAGACTGAAGGTGCAGTTGTACATCATGTAACCATGTCTGGTCTATACGGAGACTAAACCAATCAGGTTGAGGATTATGTTACACTTTAAGCCACTGTGAGAAGTGAGGGTGTTCACCTAGAGGCCATCTGAGGGATTTGTTCGCAGGACAGTTAGCCGCAAAGATGTGCCAGAAGTCAAAGGTCAGCTTAGACTATGCTAAGATAAAATGTTTGCAAGTCAATAGATATTATTCGTAAGTTCCTGGGAAACATGATGCGAGACGACCCAAATAAAACCCTCTTGTGACCCACCTGAGGGTCGCAACCCACTCTTTGGGAAACAATGGTCAAGACCGCATGAACAATTAGATTAGTAGACAAAAGTACAGAATAAAATAGTGGCAGAGAACTTTGAGTCTGCTTCACCTTCAGCCCTAAAAACATGTGGACATGGTCTGGATCTTTGACTGACGGCACAATCAGCATCAGATGGAACTCATAAGTGAATGGAAGTAAAGTCAAAACTTTGTGTAAAAACACTGATGTTGCTGCGACTGTTTTCTCTCCCCACTTCCTTATCTGTACTATTTCATTTCCTGTCGCAGTCCTTTTTGTAAAATGTCAAGTCCAAAACAAACATGTAATTGAGGTCAAACTCAGGTGATGGAGTGTTTGTAGAGTTTGACACGGTGCAGACTGTGATGTAATTGCGTGGGGTTTTGTTTTTTAAGAACTGAAGACTTTAAAAACCTGGAGACGTGCGATAAAAACCAAAAGAAAACCTGTGGAGCTTTGATTAAACAGGAAGTGACAGCGTTGGTGTTTTGGCTCCTCAGTCAGGATCTGACTTTTTCAGGTGATTCTTGGTTGACTGCACCACCAACTGTTGGATTTACTGCAGGAGGTGATGAGTCATAGTGTGTAGAAGTTTCTTTTTCTCAGATAAAAAGTTGATGTTGAGCAACTTAAGAGATAAACAAAAAATATTTTTGTTATATTGACTGATTTATAGTTATTTCTGGGATTATTTTTAATTATATTTGACTGCGTGCGTTAGCCTAACCTTTTAGTAGTTTGCTCCTGTAGTTTTCTTTTCGTTCTGAGGTACAGCAGTGTCAGGACGTGGTGTCCATAATGGTTGTAATCCAAGCTTTAGTGGACTTTACATCAACAGCTGCAGTGTTATGCAAACCCAGTAGATAGTTTTCGCCTCTGCAGCTTTGGTTTCCCTTCACTTTTCATCACTGACCTGAACTTTGTGAAGGGACTTTGCTCAGATTTCATGTACAGTCGGAGGTGCTCAACAGTCCAGTTCAACAGACAGAAAAAAAGAAAGATTTTTCTTTAATCATTATAGTCTTGTTACTACAGTTTAAACAATAAAAATTATTTAAAAAATCACACTTAAAAATAACTAAAGTTAGCTTAGAAAATGGTGATGAAGTTAGCCAAGTATACCTTGCAAAATCTCCTAAAATATGCTTCAAATTAGCCAAAAATATTTCTGAACTTAAGTCATGCAAGGCTAAAACACGTTTTTCACAAGTCACACAGTCAAAAGTGACTTTGGACAGAACAGGTTTTTGAATTAAATAATACAAAGATTGAATGTCTGTTCCTCTTTTACTTGTTTGAGTTTTGCATTTTCAATTTCCCTTGCAAAAGGATGCAACCAGCTTTTGAGAGCAGGTGTTTACTCCTGAGTCTGAAATCAGTGCCCAGCAGTGTCTGAATGTGTATGTGGATTGAAGTGTGTGTGTGTGTGTGTGTGCTCTGAAGTAGATGCAGGTTCTGGCTGTGAAAAGCCAGGAAGGCTGTGCGTGATGTGGTCATTCACCATGGAAACTGCCCCTCCTTCTCTAAAACTGCAATTTTCCCTCCTTTACTTCTGCTGAGAGGAGGCTTTTTTCTGCCAGCGACCTCTCATTATGAACTGAATCCACACAAATTGCCTCCCTTTACTTTGTTAGGACCCTCACTCGACTCATTGGCGAGCTTTTGGCTTTTCCTATGTCGTCGCATCGCTCGTCCACGAGAGCGGATGTGGGCAGAGAGGAGCATGAATGAGGCTCTAATTCAGCTCAAAAATACTTCAAAGATAGAAGATGATGGAAGGACGTTTTTTTCCCCCTCTCTAATTGGGAATGAAAACCTGATTTAGATGCACATTTCATTTGTGTAGCTTCCATGTTCCATCCGGAGAGTCGGCCTCATCCAATCAGAGATGAATCTCATTATCTATTATGTGAAGTTGAAGAGTGACTGCCTCCTAGTGTTAGATAGAACACACATTTGTTTGAGCCTAAACTCCACTGTTACTGGAAACAACTTTCTTTTTAAAAATAAGACATAGGACCAAATAAAGAAAAAGCAAACGGAACAAAACTACATTCAGTCAGCTTGTCTTAAGCCAGTGGGTCCAAAAGTATGGGGCGCAGAACTACTGGGCCATAAAGAAAAAGAACCCACGTTGAATACAGGTCAAAAATACCCCGAGTCTGAACTTAAAACAGTGATGCATCAAAAAGGCATCTTTAAACTAACTTTTTCCGAGGACTGTAAATATATCACTGACTTTCGACTTTCCATACTCTTTAAGTTTGCCAGTTGGCTGCAAATATGACTTACTTAGATACTTTTGTTTGTAGTTAATTACAAGTGATACGGCGCTCGCTCCCATCGTTTCCTCTGCAGTCAGACATGTTTAAAACCACCTGACTGTGAACAGTTCGTCCTCTGTCTTTGTCATCACACGGACTCTTTGACGGGCACTCTCTCCTGACCATGTCCAGTCCAATCCTGACCTCTGCCAGTCATTAATTCACAATGGGGCTTAAAATGGTTTTTCCTTGTTCAGGCTTTTCAATAAACAGCGGCCGAAAGCAGACACCTCGGCCATTATGGCTGTGTAAGTGATAAGGCCACAGTAACAATGAGAGTGCTTCTCTCTGGAGACGCTCCATTCTGTGTCACTGAGACACACACACACACTCTCTCTCTCTCTCACACACACACACACACACACTGGTTAGGTGCTTTGTGAGCATTTAAAATAGACAGTATTTATTTATGCTAATCCTAAGTTTTACAAATATGTAATACTTAACGCAGACATGATTATTATTAGCAAAAAATGTGAGATTTTTTTTTATAGGGAACGGTTTGTAAATCAGTACCTGTGTATTGTAAACAGGAAGTTTTAGTTTTTTTCCCCATGGCTAACCCACCCGTTTGTTTCATCTTTAATTCTGTTTCATCCACGTCTTTCCCACGTCTTTGATCGACTGCTTTCATTTACATGACTGATCCAACACCTGACCTCATTTGTTATGCCAGTAACTGTCCAATGTATTCAGATTACTCTTTGTCAATGACTAAGTAGACTGATACAGTCTCTGTGGCGCAATTGGTTAGCGCATTTGGCTGTTTGAGCCCACCTAGGGATGGAGAGTTCTTTTAGTCGGTTCCATAGTTTAGCGGTTAGCACGCCAGGCTTGGAAGCAGAAAGCAGAGAGTCCTGGGTTCTATTCTCAGAGAAACCAAATGTTTGCACCTCTTTTTTTATTTTAGGCTTTCTCTTGGTCTTGGATGAAGACTTCTTTATTGAAAAACTCTTGGTTAGTTTCTGCTTGCTGTGCATAGAAACTGCCCAAAATTTAAAAAATAAATAACCAGAAACATTCCATCCATCCGTTACCCCCAGACAGCATTCCATTTCAAAGACGTATGTGTCCAGGAGGAGGACAGTTATATGGAGCTGTGTTTTTAACATTTCCTGAACAAATGTCTTAGCTTCGGTGATGTGTTGCGATAAAACCTTTGTAATCAATATCTCTGATCTGAATCTCAGACAAATGAACCTAAATTTTATTGTCTTGTGTCTACTCTGTGGAGATGCTATCACAGTTTGTAAGATTAATGCGTAGGTCGAGCAGCACGGTGGAAAACTCTGCTGCAATGGTGGCGCTAGGAGTGCTAACATTTAGCTCAGCTTAATCTGGGACACATCAACTCTTATTAATACGTTTCTGCCATGTTAAATTCAGCCATGACAGGCGTTATGGTGGCAGCTGACGTCAGACTCAGCTCGGCGTTTTTCTCCGCTTTACTGCACTTTGTCAGGCAGCGGCAGAGAAGCAGAAGTGATTAACGTCCCCGTGCAGCAGCTACAGCATCCTGCAGCAGCAGCAGTTCTGTGAGCTCCTGATGGACAGGTAGACTGATAAAGAGACACGATACAGATACCAGTGTACTGCCGCTGCTTGTTCAAGGTCAGAGACTTGTTGGACTCCGCAGCATCTCATGCATGGAAGGACAAACTGAACGTCTCCGTCTGGCACCGGCTCACGGGGCTCAAATGTCATTGCAAACCTTGGAACTGGAAATATTTCTTGCGTGAAAGAAAATGAATGGCTTTCAACCAGACAAGTCTAAGACGAGGTCGGAAAATGTTGAAAGATTTAAGAACTTTCAAAAAAAAAAAAAAAAGAGCAAAGAGGATTTAGAACTACAGACTACAGTTACATTGTTGTTGGCAAAGTTTACTAAACATAAATAAACTCCATAAAAGCAAACAAAAAACATGGGCAAAACATCTAGAAATTGCTAAATATCCTTAAAAATACTTAATATAATAGAAAAGTAGCAATAACAAGAACAGCTGAGAGGCTAATTCCAGAAGGATAAATAATAATAAAAAAAAATCCTGGCTCCAGTTTGGAAACAGTTAAAAAGATAACAATTATACAGCGTTTACATTTGCTCTGTTTTATAGCGTTAACAGCTTCCTGTGGTTTATCTTCGGCATCACAGATGGACTTTATCAAGCAGACAAGCTGCGTGTAGAGTAAAGAGTTTGGTCATTTCAGCACAAATATCATCTGTTTGACAATGTGGCTCTTCGCACCAGTCAGCATTTCCTGCCCGCAGAGCACATTCAGCTACATTTAATATACAGTAAAATAACAGCAAAGTTACTCTACAGTAGCAGCTGTAAAACCACGTTGGTGAAAAGAATACTGCGCAGCAACAACTTCACTCCATTTATTCAATTTGTCTGCGTGAATGTGCATGGAGAATTACCAGTTGTGTCAATACTGTGTTGCAGAAATGATGTATTTGTGACCTTTTCAGATTCACGCTGCACATTGACATCAGTACAGTCGCTGCAGGGGACTGACACACACACACACACACACACACACACTGATTAGGCTTCGAGTCTATCAGAGAAGTGAATTAGTTTAATTATAGAACACATAAAGACTGAAAACCAGAAATGGAAAATCCCTGCCTGGCAGCAAACATCTTCAGCTGCAGTGAAAACGAAGACGAAGAAATGCTATAATGTTGTCATCACTGCAGACCAAGTGTGTGTCGATCCCGTCTTTTACCACACACAGTGTTTACCAACTGCACTCATGCAGAAATGTACAATTTCATGTTCAGCCTTTTTTTTTCACCGCGAGCAATACCTTAATGCTCACCCCTTCCCCCTTTATTCCCCCCTTTGTACAGCTCTGGCATCTTCTAAAGAAAGACGGGCCCAAATTATGGGTTATGCTGGTTGCCTTGGAAACCTTCTAGGGGTAATTTTCTGTAATTTTCCAGACGGGATTGCTGTTGCCGATAGAGTCCCAGTCTAAATGCAGCAGACGACAGAAAAAAAGCAACAAAAAGAAAAACATACACACAACTACTATGTATAAATATCAAAGAAAATTCTCCAAATAGTTTTCAGAAAGTAGGTCACAGTCAAAATATACTTGCGTATTTATCTTGAAGTCAGTTCCAGTTTTGAAAGCCTCTTAAAGAACATCACTGAACACTTCCTGGACCGGGCTGGGATTTTGTGTTTTTTTTTTAAACGTTGGTTCAGGCAGTTTGTATAGTTATACAGGTAAAACAGACGTATGTTGTCATGATGTTTTGTGAGACTTTAGAATATTTAAAAATGTTATGTCCTCAGACACAGCACTGGCTGTACCCAAAGAAATAATAATTTGTCGTTGCGTGGACAAAGGGAAGAAATTCTCTAAACATAACGATCAGAAAAGGACTGGAGACAAAGACCAGGACGGTAGAGTTATTCCTGGAGTCTTTACTTTGGCTTTGTGCGGAATCGTAACAGGCCGAACTTAGTTTAACGATGTATTGTGCGTCTTAAATATTTACCCTCCTTCGTCATCACAGCTCAGATTAAATCCTCTTTACTGACTCCCATTCTCTCTTTGGACACGACTCCCACCTCCCACTAAGCTGCTGGAGAAAGATAAGCCGCTGCAGATCTGGCAGAATTATGCTGAGCGTCCTTTTGTAATCTCACCATCAAAAAGTTTTTCTTTTTTTTTTTTTTGTTCGCCTCCTGAAGCGCCTATGCATATTTCAGATGTCCCAGATGTTCGGAGACGGGGAGCGGCCATATTGTGTTGGGAGAGGTGTAAGTGCTGACTAATGCTAATGTTCTCTCGTCCTCCTCGTCTTTGATGCTGTTGTTGCAGCTCTGCAACGGAGGCTCGGTGACAGATCTGGCCAAAGGCATGCTGAGGAGAGGGGACAGGATGGACGAAAGCATCATTGGCTACATCCTGCACGAGGCCCTTATGGTAAGATACTGTAGTGGAGGAGGAGGAGGAAGAGGAGGGAGTGGAGGAAACAACCTCCTCCTGAGTAAAAACTTCCACTGCATGCAGGTGTTTGGATGAAAATATAAGTGTTTTCTTCTCGTCTTCTCTGCAGGGCCTCCAACACCTGCACACCAACAACACCATCCACCGAGACATCAAAGGCAACAACATCCTGCTGACGACACAAGGGGGCGTCAAACTGGTGGACTTTGGTATGTACGCACCAAGAAAGAAGTGAAACATTGTCCAGAAAATATGCAGTGATAGAAGCCTTAAGACATATACTGCAGAAAATACATTAAAAAAAGCACATTTTAAATTTACAACAGCAGTGCAGCTCTATTCTGACACCACCTTCCAGTGAAGGGACAGCATGATTTTTAAAAATATTGTTTTTAAAGAAAATATCTTAACCATAGAACCACGTGAAGCCACTTGAAGCAATGCCACCATTGGGACATTGTTTGTAAACATAGAGCATGTAGATCTCCTTCTCCCCTGCAGATGGAGCTATACGCATAATATATACAGCTACTGTATGTCCTCATCTTCAAAGAAACCTCATAAACCAACATAGTTATTGCTATATTTAATTAGCACATTGTTGCCATGTTGATAAATACATAACTAAACTTAAAATACTTTGGGAGAAATACTATTGTTTACATTCTTTACATGAAGTAGGATATTCCTGGTTACTATATCTCTACAACTGTCCACGTCACAACATGCAACAATGCACTTTTTTGAATGGAATTATTTCTATATTTTTAGAAAAAAACAAAACAAAACAAAACTAACACGGTGTTGTTGGTACTAATGGAGTCCTGTATCCACATTTCGTCCCCTCCTTATTTCCCATTCTCCTCGTTCTCCTCCTCTAATCAGTGAAAATCACATTATGGCTCCATTCAACAGAAGAGGGTCAAAGCCATTACCTTCTGCCGCTGGACAAATAAATCCTGTCGCTAATTATCTTCTTGGAAAAGCTGGACAATGTTTACACAACGTGACAGGGCGGTAGATCGTAGATATACGCTGTAGATTTTTGCCATTACATCCCATCATTTCTGTCACACAACAGCAGCTGCTGCGGTGAACGTTGTTGCTTTAAGTTTGTTTTGAGTGTTAGTCCAGATTTGTTTCTGGAGTTTTCCTAATCAAACATTGTGCAGCAGAGTGTAGTTCCTGGATGTCACGCTTGCGAAAAAGTGTTTTCTTAACATTTCCAGAAGATGAATCACAGAGGACAGCAAAAAAACAAAACAAAACAGATGTCTGTTTTCATTTGATGTAAAATCTACCAGTCGTGTGCGTGTTTGTGTGTGTGTGAGTGTGTGTGTGTGTGAATTCAGACTGCTAATTGTGGCCTTCTCCTAAAAGCCCCTTTTTAAGCCTGAAGTAGAAAAGTGCAAAGCTTTTAAATGTAAAAGAGGAGACGGAAATGAATGGAATCACTTAAGACCCCGACTGTGTCGCAGCTCATGTGACGCAGGAGCCACTCATCACCTCCAGAGGAGATTCTCTGTCATTTTCTGACATTATTTTAATTATGGTGAGACGCAAAAAAAAAAAAAAAACAAAAAAAAATTCCATTAAAGACTGTTTTCTTTTCCTCCACGTTATAGCAGCCAAATTGATCAAATTAAATATTAAACCCAGAGAAAACCCTGCACTGCTGCAGCACTTACTGTGACACTTTCATGTACTGCATACTGTACATACTGCTGTTTCAGATGCAAAACACAGTTTCAGACAGACTGTTTGTAAAACATTCCATGCTTTGACAAAAAAACAAAATAATGCGTAGTTACCAGCAGCTAAAGGTTAGCTTAAACGTAGCTAAATGTTGGCCAAGAAATAGACAAAATAAACAGAAATCAGTGGTTAAACAGAGTCAATCTAGTCTCCATGATTATTACAGAAACTATAAATAAAAACATTTTGGAAACAACATGTTTTTTACTTGAACGTTACCAAATTGACTGCTTCAATATAAGGGTTAGCTGAACCATACCTAAATGGTTGGGAATTAAAGTACAACAAAAGTAGTTTTACTGCATCAATAGAATTATTAAATTTTACACAAAAATAGCTTCAAATTTAATAGGAAATATCACAAATAATTACATAGGACCAAGACTTCAATCAATATTGAAGGAATAAACAACTAATGACAAAAATAATTAACCTAAAAATTATGTAAAAAAGTGTAATATTCAAACCTCGAATCAGAAATAGCTGAAAGCTAATTTAACAAATAAAAAGTTGTTCAATGTTGGCAGCAGGACACAGTAGCAAAAGGTTAGCCAAAAAAAAAAAAGAATCAGAAAATGAAGAAGTCAAAATAATAATTAATTAAATCGTTTTTTTAACCCGGTTTAAAAACAGATTTTAATTAATTCTCTGTATTTATGGACTTATAACGTGGAGGAAATAAATCCTTTATATCTTTTAATTAAAATGACATTTTCCAGTATTTTTTTACCAGCAGTTCCATCTCTGTTTCTGCCAAAGCCTTCACTACTGCACTATGTTTACAGTGTTTCTGACATACAGTATATGCAGATTAAACCAACCGTGCCAAATTATAAAGATGTTGTTTCTGAATAATCTCGTTATCATCTCTTCATAGAGTGAATATGAGAATAAATAAAAGACGGTTTTCCTCGTAGGCCTCAACACTCGACACAAACCTGAATCATTGAACTCATTATTGCAGCTGACCTACAGAGGTGGAGCTTTGTTGTTCCACCAACACATGGATTAAACTAGAGTTTATAATGAAATTTACATAAAACCAACAAGTCAATTATNNTTAAAAAAAAGTTTTGGAAAGGGTTGATTTCAGGGGGGGGGGAAAATTTGTAAAAAAAAAAAAAAAAAAAAAAAAGAGAAATGCTGCCAGTACGAAATGAAAATGCTCCCACTGGTGATGGTTTTCTAAAAATATCGTTTCAAAATGATGCAGAAAAAAAAAGAAGTTGTTTTTGGATGACAAAGAAATAGTGGAAAAATGACTGTCCAGACCCGTGTCAAATGTTAAATACTGTGGGGGGTGGAGTGGGGGCGCTGTTGTAGGACGGAGGGGGGGGTCACGCTGAGGTTATTATTTTTGTCCTGTGGCAGTGACTCATCACCAGAGAGAGAGAGAGAGAGGAGGGAGAGACTGATCTAAAATACACACAGCCTCATGAATATTCTAATTGACAGCCTTATCTGTGTGATGATTATGAAGTGTGTCCCCACCAGGCTCCACTCTGGGCTAATGTACTGTAGCAGAGAGAGAGAGAGAGAGAGGAGCTGTGACAGCTTTGATGAGAGGATCTTCATGTCTCTCTACCCTGACATGACACACACTCATATACACAACATGTATATGTGTGTAAATATATATATATATGTATATATCACAGAAGTGTTTTCCTCCGCACTGCTTGCCCAGCAGTTTTTCCATCAGTATTTCCATACTGTTAATATATATACAGTTATATATATATATATATAAGTATGTATTTATATTTTACACCTCCTGTGTCGTATATATGTATGTAGCCATATTTTACACCTCCTGTGTATCACTAGAAGCAGCCGAAGTACCACCAGTAGTACACGATCCATAGTTTGAGAGCTGCCTGCATTAACAGTAGTTTAAACCACTGTGTTTCACTGCATTGATGTCAAACTGCCAGTTTGTTGTCACCACTGTGTGCTGATGTGTTACAGTGCAGTGCAGTGTGGGCGGCATATATAAAACACACACCCCTCCTGCACATGATGCTAATCCCTGTTGATGTTCACTTCATGGAACTGTTTGCCTGCTTGCCCAGCAGTTTTTTTCCCCCGTCTCTATCTCCAGATTAGCATTTTCACCACCGGCCTTAATTATCCAGGAATAAATACATTAGAAAATATATCTGTTTCCACCCTTATATTAGCAGCGCAAACACAAGACGGAAACAAAACGAGGTAGAAGTCATCACCAAGAAAAAACACAACTCTGACTGTGGGCTGTACCGATGTCACAGCCTCAGACTGTGGCCCAGTCGGGTCAAATAGATGATTCTGAGGAGGCGAGAGTGAACGGTTCTGCAGAATGAAGAGCAGCGTCATGTGGTGCAGCGGCAGATCACCACTGGTTTGTTGGTTTCCATCTTCTGCCCCCGAGTCTCCGCTTCGTCGTCCCGGTCGACTTCCTTTCATGCGGGAGCCGACCCTCAGGACACATGAGCATGTGGTGTAACACTGATTTGTCTGGACTGCTCTGGAGTCGGGTGTGTGGGTCAGCATGTTCAAGTCGCACCCGCCCTCCCCCACCACACACACACGTCACCGCGGTCGTATTTGTGCTGAATTCTCCGCCTGTCGTCCCTTTCAAACCAAACCTGAGACGATAAGTCACGTGACATCTGTATCTGCAGCCCAGTTCCAGCTGAACTGTATTCAAATGCTGTTCTTGAAATGTCCGGCTAAAAAAAAATCACCTTCAGGAATTTGTAATTCAAAGCAATCTATCATGTGTGAGGCAGAGGTGGGAGAGAAGCCAAGCAGCATGTGAGCGTGTCCAAGCTGCTGACAGCTCCATCAGCAGAGTACAGGGGGCGCTGAGGATTCCATAAGCTCAGCTTCACCCCGCTGTCAACTTGAGATGAAAGTAAAAAAAAATATATAAAAATGTCGTCAAAGTCGCTCAGAGACTTTACCCAAAGTGGATGTCGTGTCTTATTTTTTTCTTATTATTATTTTTCTCCTCATTTTCTGCAGGTGTTTCAGCTCAGCTGACAAACACTCGCCTCAGGAGGAACACGTCTGTAGGAACGCCCTTCTGGATGGCTCCAGAGGTAAACTAACAAAAAAAAGAAATACAGTAGCAAGAAGGATGAGAAGAAAACACAAAGTGACATGAAAACACAAAATAGATTAGATTAAATTAAATTAGATTAGATTGGGATGCGTTTGACTGGATTATACTGCACCGGACTGGACTGGACTATATTTAGATTTTTATTTATCTTTAATATTATTTTAAAATGTAAAAAATATATTCTTAAAATTTAGAATTAATGGGGATCTTTATATAAATATATATATTTTTAATAAATCTGTATTTATTTATATTTGATTTAATATGCTTTTTTAATCATTTTTTATTATTTAATATTTTTATTCACAAACAAGAGGGGTGACATTCCCTGCTGTATAAAGTTAAGTTTGACTGATGATATTTTCAGTACCGACTATTATTAATTAAATATATATATATATATCTGGTAACAATTAAATAACCTCAACATCAAACACTGAGACTGAGATTAAATTAGATTATTACCTTATTAATTCACTACTGTATCCCAGGATGCAGCACGGCCGGGTTGCGACCCCTGCTCTTTGACCCATTACACCCCTCTGTTGATCATTTGACCTCCACAGATTAACGTTGCACATGTTCCCATCTGGGAGGTTTGCATACTTTGCAAATTTGACGTGAGAATAATTGGGGCCTGACGGATCCGGATCTGGAGGATTTTAATCTCATTTGAGTACGAAGTTCTCATCGCTGAGATGTTTGAAGGAAAGACTGGAGTCACAGGCCGGGACGTCTTTGTTGCCGAGGCTCCTCCGGGTCGGCCACAAGGATCGAAGGTCGCGTTGGTTTTTACTGATGAAGTTCAGACCTTCATATTCTGGATTATATTATTACCCTCTGTGGATTAACGCTGGCAGCAGCTTTTAAATCTTTTGGTGCTGTGTAGGTAAGACGACATGCGTGTCCGTTAGACAGTGAAGCGTCGAATCGTTGTGTTTTCAAAAAGAATCAACGTTAATTAATGTTTGTGAAGAAAGTCACCAAAAAAACAAAACAATTGCGTTAACATCTGGTTTCGTTTGTTTTCACATGTAGGTGTGTGACTGTGTGTGTGTACACTAGTGTTGGATTGTTTTACTAATCTGGTGATGATTTTACTGCATATGCCCACTGGGGGCTGGGTGACCAATTACAGTGTGTGTGTGTCCGTGTGTGTGTGTCGGTGTGGGTGGTTGATGTGAACACATGTCATCCTCTCACAGATGAATTATGTTGTTGATTGGAAGCCATGTTGCCCTCAGGATACAGTAGATTGACTTGGAGCTGGTGTGTGTGTGTGTATGTGTGTGAGATCACATCGCGTTATTCAAAAGGCCACTGGTTTGAATAGAACTGGTGTGTGTGTGTGTGAGATCATTCCTCGCGTTATTTAAAAGGCCAATGGTTCGAATAGAACCGGTTCCAAATCCTGGTCCCAGTTTTTTGGAGATGTGACTTTGTCGTTGTGGGTTTAAATGTCACAACAGTAACATTCGCTGCTGATGTTTGAGGAAACTTTGACCCTCGGTTTATTTCCCTCCGCAGGTCATCGCCTGTGAGCAGCAGCTGGACTCAACCTACGACGCTCGCTGTGACGTTTGGTCTCTGGGCATCACCGCCATCGAGCTGGGAGATGGAGACCCGCCTCTCTCTGACCTTCATCCAATGAGAGCGCTGTTTAAAATACCCAGGTGGGTCAACTGTCACAGCACATCAAATGACCTTTGACCTGGACGACAAATGTGTTCGATTTTCACCTGGTCAGATTGATTTTGAAGTCAGTCATAAAACTCTCTCGTAAACTCTTTTTGAGGTTGTCAGAAGTAAACAAACATTTCTATAAAGGAACAGAAAGTTGATGTTTCTATTTTTTTGGTCCTACTATTGACGATTGATGAATGTTTTTTTTTAACTGCAAACCCAAAATGATACATTTTCAAAGTAGGAAAATGATTGAGTGCCACCAGACAAAATGCAGTCTTTTCACATCAAAAGGTTTCTCCGTAAACCGCTCGACTCTGATGGTGCTGATGCTTTTGGTCCAACAGGAAACAGAACACACGGACACTTAGTTCTCTCTTTCTGAAGGTGAAACGTAATCGTCCGTCGTCACCTAATTCCAGTGTTGGAGCTGCAGGAGCACTTACTGTCATTTTGTCTGTCACTGAGACGGGCAAAGGGACGGTGTGTGTGTGTATACACACGTTAAATACAGTGGCAACACACACACACACACACACACTGACGTGTCCTAGTCGTTGTTGTTTGTTTGCACTCGAGGCTCCAGCTCCACAGGAGGCGTCAGAGAGCTTCCAAGAATCTATGTGACGGCTGCAGCCACAGCCTGGAGCTCTGTCACTTCACACTCCTTTTCTCTACTCCCTTCACTGTTCCTAATATAGTCTTTTAAAATTCAGTAGACACAGGAAGGTACAGATATTTGTCATTTCTGTAAAAATTTTCAAAAAAAGAGGCAAATACAGTGCAAGTACGGTGAACAAAAATCATTTAGAGTTTGGCTTTTCATGAACATCAAGAGAGAGAAAATGTGAGTGAAGTCAAACCCCAGCACTGAGCTTCACTCCTCAGTAGGTGAAAGATTAAACACGTCCTAACCAGGCACACGTGCCACGGGTTGAGCTCTCGTCCGTCACTGTGTGCAGCAGAGAAGATTTACTTTCGCTGCTCGTTATTGTAGAGTGAGATTTAATAAGAGGACAAAGTGTAAATAAATAATTGAAACCATCAGGAGCGACTCTCCGCCTCCTGCAGCTCCGGCAGATAAGAAGAAGACTTAAATAGTCACAGCAAAACGTCGGCTGTGCCGAGGGTGTCGACTCTGCTCGTGTTGTGTGATAAAAGAAAGATGTATGGACTTTTATTACAGCCATTTATAGCTGTCAGACTTGAGCCTGACGACGGCTGCGCTGCATTAACACGACGAATTGACTTTCCCACCACAGGCCGGGATCCTGAGCCGTTCAGAAGAATTAGCGCCAATTATCCCAGAGTAGTTCCCTCACCGCGACGACTCGTGACAACTGAGGTCTTTAACCTTCTTTAAAAGTCGTGACAAACAAAAAAAAAAGAAGTCATTTTCTGTTGTTGCTGTTGATTCATTTCCTATTTATTCAACACTTTACAGCTGTAGAACCATAGACTGTATGTAACAGGTAGGACCAAAGTGAGGCTCAGGGGCCAGTTGCATCACATTTAGGAGAACTAAAGTGTGAGGCTCAGGGGCCAGTTGCATCACACTTAGAACTGAAGGGTAAATTAGATCAATACAAAAATAATTTTATGGCAGTTTTAGCTTAATGATAACTCCTTGGGCTAACCTTTAACAATTTTGCGTTACAGTGTATTTTCCTCTAAACAGGACTTTACTATGTACACAGCTGATGTCAGGTGGTGTTGAAACAGACTCACACCTGGAGATGGAGACTCCAGACTCCATAATATAATTTCTACATCCATTACTTTCACAAAGTTTGGCCTTTTTTTTTTTGCTCCTTGTCAAAGCAGAAATTTCCCCGGACATGAATTTTAATGATAATTAGATTCAGTTTGAAGATTTCTCTCCACTCAGTCTTTTGTCCTGGGCTCCTGCAGCTAAATCCCATTTCATCTTATCATTCCATTAATCTTTTTCATTCTTTCCTTCAACAGAAATCCGCCGCCTACTCTCCTCCAGCCCGAGCTGTGGTCAGACAACTTTAATGGCTTCATCAGCAAGTGAGAGCACGACTGCCGCTGTGTTTGTTATGACTCTGAATGACAAATGCTTTTATTTCTGCACCAACATATCCTTTGAATATCAGCCTAAGACATCCATACCTCCCACTTCTTCCTCCTCCCTTCCCTTTACTCTCTCTCTGCAGATGTCTGATTAAAGACTTTGAGCTGAGACCAAACGTCATAGAGCTTCTGCAGCACGAGTTCATCAGGCAGACGGTGAGCAGAGAGAAGATACTGCAGAAACAACTGATTGAGCTCATAGATCTCAACCAGCAGACGGGGGCCATTGAAAAGACGAGGTACAAACGTCTCCTGTCCAACAGATTTCATCAAGTATTTGTAAGAAAAGGTTAGAAGTTGAGCGTTGGTAAAACAAACAAAAAAAGGGGTATGTGTCCTTCCCTTCCTCCCCTGCAGGGGTGGAAGATGTGAAGAACTGCAACTCCTGATTATTGTGAAATGTTTCATGTAATTCCTGTTGTTAAAGCCATCGTGGACAAACAAACAGAGGCAGAGACTCTAACGACAGGTAACACGTGACCTTCATGGGTGCAGATGATTCCCGGCTTCCACAGCTTCAAACCTGTAGTCGACATTATTGTCTGGCTTTAGTTTTACGTTCTGCTCGGATGCTGCCATTGTTTACATCGATGTTGCTTCTCATAGTCCTGCTGTCATCCATGTTCCCTGTGGTTCACCTGTTGAGTCAAACGGCTACAATGGTTGAAAAGACTGTGAATCTCACCAGGGTGTGAAAATATCACCATTAACACATGGCAAATGGCAAATAATAATAAAGAATTGAATAATATTAACTTTCATAAACAGGATTTATTTATTTGCTAATCCACAATCTTTGTTCTGTGTCCTGTTTTTTCAGGCATGAACGAATCCACACCAAAAAAAAAACCCACATGAATTCTCAGGCCGATCCACACGAGGTGGAAGACCTCGCCATCCTCGAAGTGCTGGATGAGGTGAGATCGATTGAACTCAGCAAGATGATACTGTGTTATCAGTGCTGGATGAGGTGAGATCGATTGAATCATGATCAGCAAGATGATACTGTATCATCAAACAAAAAAAATTCAATTTATTTTTTACTTTAAACCTGAACCAGATGTCTAATTAAAAGTCTCTATTTGGACGTTAAAGTCTCGACAACTAAACTTTGCCAGATATAAACATTTACCACATGCTACGTGTTTTGAGTATATTTCAAAACCAGGGAGAGAAGAACACAATAACATCTTCACAACACAATAACATGAAGTTCCATTCATCAGCGGTGACATATAGAATGATGTCAGCGAGCTGAGTGGCCAGCGGATATTTCCGACCATCCTTTAAAGATGAACGGCACTGCTGATGTTTGTGTTCCAGCCGAATGGAGACAAAGGAAAATCCATCACTGTGTGACATGTTGATAGAACAATGACGTAGCAGGGACTTGACTCCGGGCAGAACATGCTAGTAATAATCATCGTCCTGTATGAGATTTAATTAACAGCAAGCAAATATCAATGATGTGGCTTTTTTTTTTCTTTTCTCCAGAATTCAGTCACAGAGCAGCTTAAGAGTCGATATGACAGAAATCAAATCTACACCTATGTGGGAGACATTCTCATCGCAGTCAATCCTTTCCATAAGATGGACATTTACACTCCTCAGGTCTGTGGCTTCGATGCTTCTATTTGAGAATTGCACTTTTGTTCTCTCTGTACCGTTCCCCGGTTGGCTGCATCCCATTTAGCCTCACCTACTTTACACACACTCATACAGTACACTGACCCTGTTTTTCTGCTGCTGTCATACTTCACTGGTTTTATTTACCCTTCAATCTCCATGTTTTACTTCAGCTGTCACTCCCCAGCCCATTGCTTTCTGTGAAGTACTATATTTGGTCATTATTACAGACAATTCTCTTGATGTGTGACAGTGGTCAAATTTAGTATCTAAAATACCTCAAATAAATTGTCCCCCAAAATCCAAAGTTTGCAATAAGTAAATTGAATTGGACCCAAAACATAGCTAAAAATATAACAAATTGTTGTTATATTTATTGTCAAATGTAATGTAATGTAATCAAAGGAATTACGCTTGAATAAAACTACATGTAGATCATAGCTATGCCTCAGCAAAATGGCTCAAAATAAGACTCAAATGTGGCACAAAGCTAGTTAAAAACAGCTAGGGCTAATAGTTAAGAAACCCCCAAAATGGCTGAATTTCACATAACACAATTGTAAAAATGTAAAAACTGTGACCAATTCCTTCGACGTGCCTAAATAATGCTTTTTTTATTTAATATTTGTTCAGTTTTCCCTTTACATTTATGTCATTTTAACCTTTTTCTCCTCCCTCTCCGCAGCACAGTAAGATGTACATAGCAGCTAAACGCACAGCTAACCCCCCTCACATTTTTGCTGTGGCTGATGTCTCCTACCAGTCCATGGTGTCGTACAACACGGACCAGGTTTGTTCTCAGCTCATTTCATTGACTTCAGATTCTTAAAGAAAAACACGGTTGTTTTTTTCCGCTTCGGACCAGGTTTGTTCTCAGCTCATTTCAGATTCTTGAAGAAAAACAGTTTTTTTTTAGATTAATTTACTTCATTTCTGCCTTGTGGTCAGTGTGTCGTCATCAGTGGAGAAAGTGGAGCAGGAAAGACGGAGAGCGCTCATCTGTTGGTGCAGCAGCTGACCGTTCTGGGCAAGGTGAGTTAAAACAAAACACTGCAATAGCTACATTTATTAAAATCAACATTTAATTATCGGCTTTATTTCATGTTCAGGCCAATAACCGGACACTTCAGGAGAAGATCCTGCTGGTCAACAACCTGGTGGAAGCCTTCGGGAACGCCTGCACTGCCATCAACGACAACTCCAGCCGCTTCGGCAAATACCTGGAAATGAAGTTCACCGGCGGAGGAACGGTGGTGGGGGCGCAGATATCTGAGTATCTGCTGGAAAAATCCAGAGTCATCCATCAGGCTACGTAAATAATCACACAAGTTTAATGACAAATTACATTTACTTTTTGTTGTTCTCTGAGAATGACATTTGCTCTGAGGGAAATCCTTCATGTTCCCGACCCACGGACCAGTTGTAATCAACTCAAACCCACAGCGTTTGCCTTACACCTGCAGTTCACTCAAAGTGTCCGCCTTTTCCTTTTTTATCAAGACTCCGGGGAGCAAAGTGGGTCAAGTGGAGGGATGAGCTTATTTCCTGTTTGATCACAGATTGTGGACTCGCTCGTGTCCTGGCTGCAACTTCAAAGACAGACTGCAGTATTTCATTAGAAAACAGACACAGGGATCAGAGAGGGTTTGATTGGGCGGTGAACGCGGCCCCAGGCTGTACTTTTTATTCCGTCTGGTAGATTAAATCAGTCACAGAACGTGGGCCATCCTGGTTAGGTGGCTGTGTGAATCACAGTGGGCCACAATATGCATATGAAACAAGTTGAGTTTAAAGCAGACTCCCATTTGCTGCAGGCTGCTTTTATCTTATGACCTCCACACCCATTGAGTCTAAGTCTTAACATCACGGGCAGATAAACAAACAAAATCCTGCATCCCACAGACAAACATTCATTTATACCCAAGGGCACACACATCCATAAACACACAGGGAAACTGATATTGTCAGTTTAAGTATTATTATTTGAATAAACTACTATACTACTGGTATTTGAGATGTAAAAAATGAAAAGTCTCTTATTTTTCCCACAATGGAGAAATTGTGTAAGGCAGATGTTTTTAAGGCAAATTTCCATTTAATCATCTACAATAACAGTGAAATTTTAATCATTGAAAACCGAACTTTACATAATCATTGTCATTTTTGGCTATGTTCTCTACATTACCTGTCGATGACTAACTGTTTTTGTTGGTGGTCTACGAATGAAAAGACTTACAGGTACATAAAATCTTTTTTCTGTGTGTTTCAATAGAGGAGAGAAAAACTTCCACATCTTCTACTACATCTATGCCGGCCTGGCTGACAGGAAGAAACTGGCTCACTACAAGCTCTCTGACAGCAAAACACCCAAGTGGGTTTGATGTTTACAAACTCCCCCTGTCTGTTTTTTTCCTCACTTACTTAAAAAAATGAAACTTTCAGCTTCTCTTTTGTTTTTTTCCTCACTTACTTAAAAAAAAGAAACTTTCAGCTTCTCTTTCTCTGCCCTGTGGTTCCTGACCTATTGTTTCCTCCTCCTGCTACAGGTATCTGTGGAACGAACACATTAAATTAGGGCCTGACATCGTCAGCAACAGCTTCTACAAGGAGCAGTTTGACGCAGTGGAGCAGTGTTTCAAAGTCATCGGGTTCACCCTGGAGGTACGAACGCCCACGCTGATTAACAGGGAGGAAAACCTGAAATTGCTTTTCACACAATCATGTTTTAACCTTGATGCTAACAGTCATACAGCTGTGTTCCCACTCCCCTGTAATAAATGTAAAGGCCTTTGCATAATGACTAGGACACAGAACTAAAGATGTTTAATACTATTTTTTTTTTAACTTGGCTAATTAGTGAAAAGACAGTTTCATTACCAACAAAAACAACACAAGATAGCTACTAGACAGCCTGAAATCGCTAGGCTTTATTTTAAATGGCCAGAATTAGCTAAAAACAACTCCATATTTATGAAAACAAACGTATAAAATAAACGTTTTGCTACTGCTTACAGGATGTGCCAAAAATGGTCCTAGCTAAACCCAAGTACACCCAGAAATGACTTAAATTTAATTGCAGAACGGTTATTTGCTAAAATAGTATAGAGCTAAAATACAATTGCACACAATCAGTACATTTATTGGTTGACCCCCAAAACTTTTGTGGAGCCATTATTGGGCCCCAACCCAGTGTTTGGAAACCACAAACAAAAACCCAGAATAATCTTGAAAATAACTTTTTCTAAGAGGCCAAATTGTTTTGTTGTTTTTAAAGGAAATGCTGCTGATGAAAAATTCAAAAACAGGTGCAATTGGTTGATTTTTTTAATTTTTTTTGAGAGAGTGTGTGGTGTACAGTATAATGGAGACTGCAGCTTCATTCACATGATGTCAGACTGAAGCTGCCACTGTCAGAGTTAATGAGGCCCAGAAAAGTGATTGCCTCTGGGTGCTGCACGTCAATAGTACTTATCCAGTAATCGTCAGGCTCTGCTGGAGGAACGGCCTGCTCCTCTGCTCCACGCCTTCCTGACTGGAATAAAGAAAAATAATCACTGATTGTCTTTGAGACACTTTGTTCTCTTCTGACTCAGACGTGTGACGCAAAAACAGAAACTTTGAAGTAAGAAAAACGATGGAACAATGTGATCGTTGGCTCTGTTTTCTTTATTGTTGGTGGTGCTAGAAACTAACTACTTTGTCAGATTTTGATTGTGAACTTGCTGAACTTGCAAGTTTCCTTCTACAGTAGTAATATCGTTTTTAGCTTTTATGAGATAAATTGTTACGCTAGCTTGGATGTATGTGATGGCATTTTTTTTTCTTTTATCTTTTTGCATTCGTACATGGCATAGTTTACAAATGATGTATGCTACAGAAGCCTACGTTTACATTCTTTATTTGCATTAGTAAATTAGCTAAGTATACAAGTCTTAAAATTAAAAATTTGTTGAAAAGTATTGTTAAAAAACCTAGTAGAGTGAAGTTAGGATACAGTAACTGCAGAGTTTTTCTGTTGCTTTACGGACTGATCTTTGTGTGTGCAGGAGCTGGGCAGTGTTTACAGTACCCTGGCCGCTGTCCTGAACTCTGGAGACATCGAGTTCTCGGCTGTCGCCACGGAGCATCAAACAGACAAAAGCAACATCTCCAATGTTCCTGTGCTAGAGAACGGTGAGGAGGGTGAGGGAGAGGGGAGGAGGGGGAGGTGAAAGAGATTGAGTTTGGGTCTGGGATGGCTCCAGACCTAACATGTCTCTGACTTTGTAACTTATACCTGAAGGTCAAGAAATGTTTCTTTTCACAGATAGTCCTAAAATAAAAAAAAGAAAAATACATTTAAAATATGTTTAGCTAATAGGCTAAAGGTTAATTTGCCTGAAGATTTGTTGATTCAAAGGTTTGTAAATTACATTTATAGTACAGTAGTATTTCGTTAACATCTCCTTTAATTTTAGAACATAACTCAGAGCAGTAAATGTTGAACCAAACCTCTGCACATCATACAGTCTCACTGTGCTCCTTATCTCCCTCGTCTCCACAGTGGCCTCACTGCTGCACATCCGCACAGACGAGCTGCAGGAGGCGCTGACCTCCCACTGTGTGGTTGCCCGAGGTGAGACTATTGTCAGGCCCAACACGGTGGAGAAGGCAGCGGAGGTGAGAGATGCCATGAGTAAAGCTCTGTACGGACGTCTCTTCAGCTGGATCGTCAACCGCATCAACTCCCTGCTGCGGCCTGACGGACACTTAGGGTGAGGTCACTGGAGTGCTCTTATATTTAACAAAAATGTATAAAATAAAAGAAAAACCTAGCTGGATAAAACTATCCTTAGTCCTAAATATGGTAAAATAGCTGAAGGTTAGCCTGAAACATATCTAAAATGTCACTCAGATAACAGTTTGTGTTGTTACTGAAAAAGTTCATGGAAAAATACTTATATTTATCTCCTCCTACGGCACCAAGAGAATCTTAATTCCATTAAAAACATGACGTCCGAGACCAGACTTTTCCCTCTCGTCTCCAGGGAAGAAGATAAGGGTTTGAACATCGGCATCTTGGACATCTTTGGTTTTGAGAACTTCAAGAAGAACTCCTTCGAGCAGCTTTGCATCAACATCGCCAACGAGCAGATCCAGTTCTACTTCAACCAGCACATTTTTGCCTGGGAACAGGTGAGATTCTCCAACCGTCAACCTTCTCAAAGTCCTTGCTGAGGAGCATTCAGACGCACGTCCTCATCCTTCACCTCATCAGCGGCTCATTTCCATCTTAATGGAGATCTTCTGTCACCGTCTGTCACTTACTGGAGTTGAAAAGGGTTAAACACTCCGCTGTCTTTATTTATGGGCTGAATGAGATTTCACTTTTTGTGGTCTCGTGGGTGTGAAGTCCTCAGGGGCAGAACAACGGTTTGGCTAATGTTAAATGATTTGGTCTCACCCCTGGAGAGCAGCTATAAATCATCCACAACCAGGGTCAATTAGGTGGAGAAGACAGAGGGAGTCGGACTTAAACTCACTCTGGGGTGTTGTCGTTGGCACCGGGCCCAGAAACATATTGTCCTATACTACCTCCATGTATATAAACATATGTTTATACAGGACATGAGGGGGACGTAATGTACCGTGAGGACTGTAGTGTGACTGTGGAATAAGAGCAGAGCAGATATAAAGGCAGCTCTTCTACGTGCTGTTACTTCTTCTCTCTCGTACATTCCTTCATGGCAGTTCCTTAATTTCCGGTTTGTATTTCATGCTTCACCAAGCATCGTGATTTGATGCCGCTTGTTCCTTTCTCTTCTTGGAAAACTGTGGGATTGTAGCTGAGTCATTCCAGCAGTGAACGCTTAGAGTCAGATGTGATCAGGTTCAACTCACTGACATGAGGTTGCTTATCGTCAAAGGCTTCCAGGACAGGATTAGAGGAGAAAATAAAATCTTTGAAACAGTTTTGACACATTTAATATCTGCTATTGCTAACTGCTACACTAGTAGAACCTTAAAATGGGATTTTAAATGGGAAAATGTTATGATTTTCTGGTTTTCAAGTCAAGTCGCAGCAGCTTTGACTACTGTCCAGTTGGGGTTGAAGAGTTTCTAGTCACAAAAGAAGTCCCGTTCAGTCCAAGTCTTTATGTACAGTGTGTTTACTCTGAGATCATCTCTAAATATAAACCTACATTAGAATTGCACTTATATTGAAGAGTTCTTGTCACGTGTGTCCAGGACGAGTACCTGAATGAAGAGGTTGACGCTCGGATGATTGAGTACGAGGACAACAGGCCTCTCCTGGATCTGTTCCTGCAGAAACCCATGGGAATGTTGTCCCTGCTGGATGAAGAGAGTCGGTTTCCTCAGGCCACTGACCAGACACTCGTGGGTCAGTCACACCAGGTTTTCCACGGTCAAACGTTGTTGGCTCTCTCTCTCTATTTCTCTCTAACTTTGACGTTCAACTTTTAGAGAAATTTGAAAATAATCTGAAGACCAAAAGTTTCTGGAGACCAAAGAGAGTCGATCTTGGATTTGGAATTCATCACTATGCTGGAAAGGTATTTTTTTTACTGATATTAGTCAGTTTTTAAGGTGGGTACTTTTTCCTGAGTATTTTTTCCACTTTGAGGTGATTTACAATACAGTTGGATTCCTGGCCAAGAACAGAGACACACTTCCGGCCGACATCATCCTGCTGCTGAGATCTTCAGAGAACGAGCTCATCCGACGACTGGTCACTCATCCTCTCACCAAAACAGGTGAAGACTAGAATTATCAGACCTAAAAACCTTATATATACTGAGCAGTTTATTCCAATCTTTGGTCGATCTTTTGCTCCTTTAATATCATAATACCCAAAATCTATAAAAGGTTCTGCAAAGTTTACTTCCTGGAATCCTCAAATGAAGTTTACTAGCTACATCTAAAGTCAAACCAAACCTCGTCGTCTCTTTCTCTCTCAGGTAACTTGGCCCACACCAAGGGCAAAGGTGTCAACGCGATGCGAGGCCCACGGACTCCGACACGCACCGTCCAGTTTGCCAAGGTAGTCACAGCCGTTCCTGTATCGGACATTTCTCTGGTTTATTCTACTGTTACGACTGTTAGCTTTTCTTCCCACTTCACTTCCGTCAGTGTTGTTGTTCTGCAGCTTCATTTCTTTGACCTGTCTCTGTTTCTCTCTCTCTCTCTCTCCCTTCACTTCTGCCATCAAAGATGGGAGTTTTAAACCTGTACACGGCTTTTGGTATCAGTGAGGTAATCCTTGTAATTTTGTACTTTGTCCCACGCTCTAAGTGTTTCTTTGCGTATTTAGGTCACTGTAGATTGGTTAAATAAACAAAAAATCAATTACATTAAGAAAGTCATTTCCTTAGTGTCAATAAAATCTTTTTTCTCCTTTAAGCTCACGCTCTGTGTCACCAAAGACTTGTTTTGCCACAAATGTTATCACGAAGCTGGGCCTTTAAAAGGAAAACCCAATGAAAGAAAATGATCCAGTGAAAGTCTATTTACTAACTTTATTTGAAGTTCATAAAAAAAAAAATTGAATAAAGAAGTTGTGGGCCAAAACACGTCTAGTTGCGTAATTAGATTTTAAGACGTGTCCTCAGGTTTAGGTCATTCATCCAGGTCGTAGTTTTTCTAATCTCTTACTTTATTGGAAGGTGTTTCACTTTTAATCCAGCATGTTTTTTCTTCAGACTCTGTGTTCAGGGTACTTTAGTTTTACAATAACTTGGCGTCAAAGAGCAGCCAGAGTAAAACAGTCAAATTATCAACCTTTAATGGTGATTGGAAATGCATTGAAAAGCCTACAATACACATGAGTTCACAGATTCTGTAGGTTATGGTGAACAATCCTGGCTTCACTGTACAAACATCAGTGTTTCCATTGGCCCTGATGTTAAGACCTGAGGCGGTCGGTGAGGGCGGTGACATTTTTAAATGCAGCATGTTTGATGATTTCTTGCATGCATTTCCATTTATCTGCATACGAAACAAAGACATCATCAAAAGGGTTTCGTTTTTAAAGAAGCAACAGCGAAGCTCTCAGAAGCTCCACTCACGACGTAAGCCTGATCACACAGGTTGTTTCCTCCGCTGTGATTTAAGGTTTAGCTTTAGCTGGTCCAGTGTTTTTACAGTTTCTCTGCCTGGTGTGTGTCACTGTTGCTTTAAGAGCAACACAGAATAACTACAGAAAACACTTTTTGTTTTGAAAATACAGACTTAAATTAGCCTAATGTATGAGGATCTGTCACGGTTCTTTTTATGGGCTGCAGTCAACAGTTAATAATGCTGCAGCGTTTGTTTCAGTTTGTCTTCATTTCTGACCTTTTTATGCTCCGATTACCAAAGTGATTGAATTGCACTGATGAGAAAATTGTTCAATTTTTCACTTAGTGGTTAATAAATTACCTATGAGAGTAGAGAGGAGAATAATCACAGAGCAAAGAATTGGATTGTGTGCATTCAGCGTCATATGTTTTGTCAGCAGGTAGAACAAGGAGATGTTCCTTACCATCCCAGAGAAACCACCAACATGAGGACCCAGACCGTGGCCTCCTACTTCAGGGTAAGGTCATGTTATTTTTTTTTTTAGTTTTTTTATGTGGCCCATTTGTATGTACCACTCAGGCTTGTTGACTGTGGGCACCTCTGTCCAGTACTCGCTGATGGACCTGCTGTCCAAGATGGTGGCGGGACAGCCTCACTTTGTGCGCTGTATCAAACCCAACAATGACCGTCAAGCCAACAAGTTCGACCAGGAGAAGGTCCTGGTCCAGCTGAGGTACACCGGGGTCCTGGAGACGGCCAAGATCAGACGACAGGGTTTCTCTCACCGCATCCAGTTTGCCAACTTCATAAAGAGGTCAGCAAAAAAGATTCCAGTCTCTGCTGTGGACCTGCAAGCCTTCAGTGATCCACCTCTGGTAGTTTGTCTGAGAAGTGGCCCACTCTGTGGATGCCCACCCATATAGAAACATAGTTCTTTGTGGCCCATTCCTTGTGTCAAACTTGTGATCTCTCTCATATATTCATATTTGATATTCAGGCAATTGCGTGTGTGTTACAGATACTACGTTGTTGCATTTCCTGCACACGAAGAACCGGCTGTGGCTCCAGAAACCTGTGCTGCCATACTGGAGAAAGCCAAGCTGGAGAACTGGGCCATGGGCAAGACAAAAGTATTGACTTAAATATTGCAACTTGAGTTGACTTTTACCTTACTATGATGCACGGCAGTACTGCAGCTACATGTATTTAGTACAGCAGTCCTGTTTACTGTGGTGAGAAGGAGATACTTAGCATTCACCCCATTGCTTCTCAGGTTTTCCTCAAATACTACCACGTGGAACACCTGAACCTGATGGTCCAACAGGCCACGCAGCGGGTCGTTTTGCTTCAGGCTTCTGTCCGAGCCTGGCTGGGTGCCAAACGGTACCGTCGGTTATTGAAAGAGCGACAACAGAGTGCCTTAGTACTGCAGTCAGGTAAGTAATCCTAACTTCTTTGTCTGTGACACTAAATGTACACGATCTTCTGCCGTAACAATTTATACTCAAATATTCAGCTTATAGGGGTCATAAGGTTAGAAAGAGGTTCGCTGATGACAAAAACAAGGCAAAGTTTGACGTCTTCATCGTCCAGTTTCAGGCTGGTGAGAACGAACGAAAGGAGATTAAATGAATTGTGTTCTACCGTGTGTGAGCTCTACATTAGTTAATTCTGGAGTTTCTTTAAAGCATGCAGAGGGTTTCTGGCGAGAAAAACCTACAAGGAGTTGGTAGATGAAAAAAACAGGGCTGCGACCAAAATTCAAGCTCGTTACAGAGGCCATAAGGAGAGGAAAAGCTTCCAGAGGAAAAAGTAAGAAGAAAAACACGTGCATGTTCAGTAATATGTCATAAATAAAGGGTGAAGGTCAATGTTCTACCATTATCCACAGGGAAGAGAACGAAAAAGCCAAAAATGACCTAAAAGTGACGGAGGAACCATCACCTGAACCTGAGAAAGGCGGCACCGAAAATGAATCTTCATCAGGACTCAGAGCAGAGGATGAGGAGGAGGAAGCCAAAGCTGCTGTGGTTCTCCAGAGCAACTACAGAGGCTACAAGGAGAGGAAAAAATTCAAGGAGAGAAAAAAGACGATGGCTGGAGCCGAACTAGAGATACCGTCAAACACAGGAGAGGAAGAAGAAGAACCGGAACACAGAGGGCCAGAAGATGAAGAGGAGCTAGGTGAAAAACAAGAAGAGAATCAAAAGAATGAAGGAAGTACCATGAAAGAAGAGGAGAATGATGACAGTGATCATACTCTGGTGCCAGAAGAGGAGAATCTTTCAAAGGTAGCCGAAGAGGCTGGAAATGCAGAAGGAGGTGAAAAAGAAAATGGACAGAACAATCCTGCAGGAGAGGAGGACGTTGACTTAGAGGAGGAAACCAGAGCGGCCACTGTCCTTCAGAGTAACTTCAGAGGTCACAAAGAGAGAAAGAGGTTGCAGGAAGAAGGAAAAATCCCTGCCCAGAAACAGGAACACCGTCCTAATGGAGAGACAGAGGCTCTTAATGCAGATGATGAAAAAGAAGAAACAGAAGATACAGACGTTGAAGGTGCAGGTCATGGTTCTTCAACAGACGCCATTTCTGAAGATCCAGATGAGAACAAAGCAGCCGTGGTGCTCCAGAGTAACTTCCGTGGCCACAAGGAGCGCAAACGACTTGAGGAGGAAGGAAAGATCCCAAAGAAAAGAAAGAAGGATGAAGAGGGTGAACTTCTGGACAAAGGAGAAGAGAAACAAATGGAAGAATCAGAAGCAGCAAACCAGCAGGATGCATCTGCTGAGAACCTGGACGGACAGGATGAAGAGAGAGCTGCCACTGTTCTCCAGAGTAACTTTAGAGGACACCAGGAGAGAAAGAAGCTGAAAGCTGAACGGGAAGCTCAGAAGGAGGTGAAGGAAGATGTAGAAGAAGAAAACACAGAAATGGAGGAAGAAGAGACGGCAGCTTTGGACGACGCTGATGTAGAGATTGAACGTCAAGACGACGATGAGGCTGAGAGGGAGAGACTGGAAGAAGAACAGGCTGCAGTGAAGATCCAGAGTAACTTCAGAGGCTACAAGGACAGGAAGAACCTGAAAGCCAATCAGGAGACAGGACAGAGAGAAGCTGAGGAGCTGCACAGCTTCTCCAAAGATGTAAGAAAGAAAAACGTCTAACAACCACCTCGGCCTTAAATCTGTCCATCGATCATTTCTGTCTGATCTCCACCCACAGATCACGAAGTCCTCCCAGGACTTTGTGGCCCTGCAGCAGAAGCTGAATGCTATCATCGAGGCACATCAATCGAACCCAGAGAACAACGGCATGTTTGTCAGAGGGAAACCAATCAGTCGCAGAGCGTCTCAGAATCAACAAGCAGGTGAAACGAAACCCACAGATTTCTGTTGCCGTACAGTGTGATGTGATACCCAGGGCTTCGGGCAACACTGATTGGATCAGGTTTCTTCAAGGAGACTCGTCTCCATGATGCAATTTTGAATGTTGTAGAGTTCAGGATAAATCCTGTCCTGTTAGCTGTCAACAAATGTCTTCTGAAAAATGAGCTGATTAGATTGTCCAATCATGGAGTATTCTAAGAGATGGAGTTGACACACGTGCAGGATTTTCTCCCACATTTCCATAACTGAAGCCAAGAATGAGACTTCCTTCCATCTTCCTGCAATTGAATCTGATACCATCAGAGGAAATCTCCTGTATCGTGTTGAGTCTTTAAACCTGGTAAAGTCAAGTGTCCAAACCGGAAGGTTCTTCTCCATAAACCCGTGTGTCATCAAATGACAAATTTGATTGGATCTGGTGATAGGTGTAATTGCTTTAGTGGATGTTGAGCGGAGGAGGGGGGGGGGGGTACAGGGAGGAGGGTGGTAGCAGCAAGTAATGAGTTGGCGATGTGAGCTGTAATGTCAGCGTTGTCATTGGTGCAGCTTTCTGCAGGTAGAATTAACGTATGTAATGTAATAATACCGGAGATTGCTCTTTTTCTCCGACGACAGCATGATTAATCTGTGATTGATTTTGATCTTTGGTGGCTCCTTCTGGTAAGAGCAGGTAATGGGAACTGTCTGTGTAAATGTTAGCAATTTAATAGAACATCATAGAAATTTAATTAAAAGAAAGCCCTGTTTAACGGCAGCAACTGAGACAAAGGAATGGTCACGGTCAAAAGAATATACTTTTCTGAATAATAATTCCTAGTCATTAATAATAATAGTCATTATTTAAAAACATTCAGTTCCTCTTGAAAAAGAAATCTTGAAAATCATTGTTTAACATCAAGGAAGTCCAGGTGTTGCTGGCGATTGCTGCCTCGTTTGGTCACTTTGTGGTAATAAAATAAAACAAATACAACATAACAAACAAATATTTTTAAATCAAAAATTCTTTACCTAGATTTTAAAAAAGTAAATATACACCCCAAAAGGTCAAAATGCCATCCAACTGGGAGAGTTTTTAGCCTAGCCTAGCCTGAGCTAGCCTAACTAAGCTTAGGTTAAACCAGAGACACAGTAAAAACACCCTCAATGTGTTATTCTCTATATTTAAATGTCTTATTTTTATTTTAACCAATTTTGAGATATGTACATTTTCTTTAGCGCAGCTTCACCTGACCTGAAAAAAGTTATCTGTGTTATTCCTCCGAGGTTAATCCGACTCACTTTCTCAATAAAAGTATTCTCACGCAGACGCGCAGATCATTTATTCTGTATCAGTAGTCCTGAGGCGTCTTCCTGAATTTCACTGACATAATAAAAACCTCAATAAGAATCATTTTCAGCGCAGACGGAGAGAAAGCAAAGAGAGACGTCAGTCATAATATTCTTCATGGGAAAGGTCGTCAAAATGTTAATCACGTTTTCTGAGTGTGCGCTGTCTAACAATTATGGCCGGAATTAATAAGACTATGGGTGTGTGTGTGTGTGTGTAGAGGTGGTAATGCAGACTGACCTTTGAAGTTTGTTCGATAAAAACTTTACACCTTCTCTCACCTGGCTGTTACAGGATATGATGGATTTCTTTGCCATGTGTTTTTCACACTTGTGTGAACATTGATTAATAACGAGCAACAGGCAAAGGTCGTTGGAATAACTTCACATTTGCAGCAACATAGGAAGAGGGAAGGAGGGAGGGAGGGAGAGATGAGGTCACACACACACACACACACACACACAGGCTGCAGTGAGTCAAACATGGATTGACACTCAGTTATGGGACACGTTATGTCAAAGGCCGACTCACACGGTCCCTGTTGGAAAATTCAAACCAACCCAAAGGCCTCAGGGGTCAAACTGTTGTTGGTACAGAAGGCAGATCGATATGAACGACAAGGTCAAAGTGCAGCGTGGTGTCAGGTCGTGTTTGGGACACTGTAGTAATCCAGTCACTGTGCAGCGTTGTCGCAACCGTTATGATGGCATGGTTCTTTTTTTTTTTTCCGTAACGTACACAAAAACTCATTAAAACTTCTCTACAAGTAGGAGAAAAAATTAAAGTTGTTTTATTAAAACTACAATAAAAAATAGTTATAGTTGTTCATGTTTAGGATTCACGTGTTTCTAACATTCTATTTTTTTTTACTTTACAGTTAACCAGAGAATTTCCAGAGCTCCTCGTAGGAACCAGCAGCCAAAGACCCTGAACGCACCAGAGGACTCCACCTACTACAACATGATTCATGTGAGTCGGATGCTGGAAAAAAAATACAAATTTCTTTCTGTTTTTATTTATTCAAAGCAAAATGTGTCTGATATTTCTCAGATTCTCAGCTAAAGTTGTAGTGTTTCATGACCTGATGCTAACATTCCAATCACACACACTCAAGACTGAACCATTTAACAGAAGCCAAACGTTGTTCATCAGTGAATGAAGCCTGTTGTCTCCGTGCAGACATTTATTTTTAATTATTAATTCATTAGAGAATTTTCAAATCTACAAATGAGCTGCAGCTTTTCCTCGGAGGCGACAGGAAACGTCTCATCTCTTCCATTAGTCCAATCATGAAAGGCTTCACACACACCCCCACCCCCCCACTGTCTTCTAGCTCCACGTGGACATGGATCAGTGATGTTGGACATGTGTAGTAATTTGTCCTCTTGTCCCCTCTGCTCCCTCAGCGCTCCATCCAGGACGACAGACGCAGGTCCAGGAAACGGGAGTAAGTCTCGTCTCCTTCTTCTTTTAACCACTTTAACGACCCGTCACTGCTGTTTTAAAGAGGCTGATCTACTGCTGACACCCTGCTGGGCCCGGACTAATGACCAGAACAGGGCCTGGGTCCTGGACCTAATGGTCTGCGGCGGTACAGTCACCCTGGATGCCAGTAATCGGCTCCATATTTCACCATGGCTGAATATGCCCGATGAAATTTAATGTTGTTTTGTGTGGTCGTGTTCCAGTGTGTGTCTGTGACGGAGGTCTGTGTGATTTGTGTCTCCGCGCTGGAGTAAATATGTATGTGCCAGATAGGCTACGAGGTGAGGATACCACCGCAGCTGTGGGCCCGAGATGGACTGATAGGACTTCCTGTACGAGCAGAGGCTGGAACACTTTATCACAGCAGTCTGAGGACACACACACACACTAACGTATACACACACAGGTATACACAGACAGTCCAGCAAAGCATTGAGCATCAAGGGTGATAATTTGTTAGGAGATAAATAAAGCCGACGACGGACAGGAGCCGTTTACATGCGTCATTAAGGACAAGAAGGTCAGCGGGAAAGATGGAACTCTGTGTCGGGAGCTGACAGCAGAGGAAGACGGGATGAGGGAAAGTGTGTGTGTCTGTGTGTGTGTGGTCAGAGAGGAGAAAACAGCAGAGTGGACAGAGGTAATGATAGAAAATGGGAGTAAAAAGGCCAGAAAAGAAGAAGAGGGAGGGACAGGGTGATGGTTCTGTCGTGGATGTGGACACATCAAAGCTCAGTTTTCACATGTCTGATCTGTCTGTGTGTGTGTGTGTGTGTGTATGTGTGTGTGTGTGTGTGTGTGTGTGTGTGTGTGTGTACAGTAACTGTCGGTGATTCAGCTCCGCCTGCTTTCACATCATGAAGCCTTTTATTTTTACCATTTTGAAGCACAGTGAGTGGGAAAATGATGGATATTCTACGAGATGTAGTGGCGCTCATACTTAAAGCAGCAGCAGCAGCAGCAGCAGCAGTAGCAGCAGCAGCAGCAGCAGCGTTTTTCAGGAAACTGAACAGAGGGAGGCATTTAGCAGGAGCACTGAACCAGTGATGAACTGCACGGCCCTGGAACCAGCGACCGTGCTGAACCAGATCTGGTCTCATGGTGCTCAGAACAAGCTGACAAACAAAACAAGTGAAGAGAAGAATAGAGCAGAGGACAGAGCTGAAACAGAGAGAGTTGACCTTTTTTTTATTATTTATTTTAATGACAGAGCATCAGCTTTATAGTTGCATTTTATTTATTTTTATACCCTTCAAAAATTACAGTTTTTAAGCCTAATATTGATTATATAGAGGATGGATCAATATTATTTAACAGATTAACAGGTTCAGTCATTAGACAATACAACTGAAAACAAGTGGAAAATCTCCACAGCTAGTTTACTAGTTAATTCTGGCTCAAAATTAACTAGAATATTTTCCTAAAACAACACTTTTTTATTACTCTGATTCATGTCTATTTTCCTTCAGTCTAACCCTAACTGTTCAGTGTAGCTAATATTGAATATTTGACAGAAAGTTTTTAGACTTTTTTTTTTTGTATATTTTTGTCATAGAAACTAATGAAGATTTGTTTATCTGCTGAGGTTTTCATGACGTCCAAGACCAGAACGTGGAAGATCAACATCTGTTGTTTGGATCCTAGAATGAGTGAACACATCATTAATGTCCGTGTGAACTCTCTCTGAGTGTCATTGATCTCACAGTAATAAAAAAAAGCTCTCTCAGTCTCTCTGCCTCTGCAGTGCTGTGCTCATAAAGACACTGATTTCCAATAACAGATCTCATCATACCATAATGTGTGAGACTTATTGATCCACACTGAAAACGCAGCTTCTCTCTTCACGTACACGTGAAGGTCACAGTGACGGGGACGAAGCGGAGTGTAGATTCACTTTGGTCTGATTGCGTGATCGAACAGTCATCCTTACTGGTCACATGGTGCTGCCCTGAGTGATAGAAATACAAACAATAGTCAATGAATATATGTTAATGGGAATTTAAACTGATGTGGATTCAAATCAGGATTTTATTTCTTGCCTGTTGTTTGTACTGCAGCCCATATTGTCCTCATATTGTCCTCATCTCGTCCCCTGTCCACTCCACTTGTGTTTCAGTCCAGGTAAACTGCTGGACGTGAACGACCAGTACTACCAGGACCTGTACACCAACAGGTCTGAACACGGCAGCAGCAGCAGCAGCATCAACAACAACCTCTCAGAGAGGAGAAGGTCCTCAGTCAGGAGAAGTTCTTCAGCCAGGAGGACATCTGCAGAACTGAGGACCAGACAGAGGGCCGTCACCGATCCAGAACCTCCCAAACCTGCCACGGACAACAGGTACAATCATCTTCATCTGCTGTAGGGATGTTTTTTTTATTCCTGTAATCAACAGCCACCAGGGGCAGTCTGGAGTAAAATACCCCAGAGTCCAACCTTCAGACTTTTTCTGGTCTATCTTCTGGTTTAGTGTTCTAGAGAATAATTCCAGAGTGACACCAGCTTTCTGTGTTCCTGTCCATCCAAGAGCAAAGAGACCGACAAACCCATTCCCATATTTCACGTGTCCTCGTCCCTTCAGACAAGTCACATGATGAACAACTCAAGAGGAGGAAGAATATATTTAAAAAAACAAACAAACACTATTTCTTTCATTTATTCCTGCTTCAGCTTTTCTTCTGTTCTGGTTATTGAATCTGTCCTCTGTTGTCTTCTGTTGACAGACGCTCTGTCCCCAGGATGTCGTCCACTGACAGTCAGTCTGAGGACAATCCCTACGACTACAGACACCTGCTGAGGAAGACGTCGCAGAGACAGAGGCTCATCAAACAACACTGAGTAAAAGACTGAACTTTTATTTTTTAATTCATTCACAGCAGCGTCAAACCATCAACCCCTTTGGTTTTATGCTAAATTGTCCATGTGGGCAACAACTGACCTAAATGTGGGCCACTTGAGTCTGGAAGCCATTTACTCTGAGTCAGATAAACGTTGGCAGCACTTTTGTTTATTGCCAGACATGGCCCACTTTTGTATGCTAGCAAAATTGGTTTGGACCACAAACCAATACCTTCACATGGCCCACGTCTGTGGGCCACATCAAGAGCCACAAACGCCAAATAACCTGAACAACTACTGAACCAAGAACATTTGCTCTAACGTGAAACTGAAGAGGGCATTTGGCTAACGTGTGTCCCACATTTTGTCTACCAGATGTACACCATAAAATACCCATAATTCATTGCTGCAAGGGCCAGTGAACTGATT